ACAGAAATCATATGAAGCAACTTTCAGAGTTTTAGTACCTTTTCAAGTCTTTAGAAACTAAAATCTTTTAGCTTTTGTTTATTGTTTACATTACAATCAGTTACACTCGGTATCTGACAAGATTTTTTTTAAAAAAAAAAAAACGAATGGTCAAGCTCGAAAGAGAAAGGTAAAAGACAGCACAGTATGTTTTGATAATTGTGGAAAGATTTCAAATTTTGGTATTTTTGTCATTGGAAATAGCTTGAATTGTGAATTGTGAGAAATTAGTCTGGAATACAAAAATTGCCTACCTTCTAAATCAAGATAAATTACTACGTTAAAGAAACAACTTGGCTAACCTTGAGAGCAAAAATCTTGCAAGTGGGCTTATGTTTGCGCTGGATTGAAATTCCTTGTTCTGCTGCTTTTTCTTGTCTTCTGCCTTTGTGTTCTGTGTTTCTTCAGAAGCTGTCTTGCCCTTGGTGAAAATGCGAGCAGCCAGCTCCTGCAGATCTTTCAATGAAGATTCCTTTGAACTATTTGAACTGCAAAGATTTTCTTCTATGAGTCATATAGACTACATGCCACCATTTTAAGTGGTGAGAAAGATTAGGACCAATATGAAAAAGATAGGATGTGTGAAACCTTGCTAATCGCTGAAGCAATTTGCTGACAAAAACTTCAGAAGATCCCGGCTTCAAGCTCTCCAACTTTGCAAGCGACTTTGCAACTGCACGCACAGCAGACCCTTCTGAATCATCAGCAATTGTCTACATGTACACAAGAAAAAGAAAAGTAAATCACAGGGATTGAAACTATGCGTACAATGAATTCATTTGATATGTATGCATACATCAAGACGTAAAATACAGTAGGTTGAAACTTGAAACCATACACACCAAATCTAAATATTATTGTTTTACTGATGCTAACATAGTTAAAATAACTTGCATCTTAAATGTATGCCTAGAACAAGCAATCTATATCTTCCAAAGTACTCACACATGGACATATAATAGGTGTGCTTTTGCAGCACCAGGCTTCTAACTAAGAAAAACCCACAATTTTTGGCAACAATGAGTTCCTTAGCAAGAAAAGATAGAGAGAAAGAGAGAGAAGAAAACAACAACACTGTTTTATGTCTTCAAAAACTTGTATCTGCAGTTCTTGAAGGTTTTTATTTTATTTTATTTATAGACAATTTAGGACGAGTAGAAGAAACTCTAGAGAATCTAACAGAGTGAAATTACAATTTCAAACTAATAGGCAAAGTTACCCCTTGACACCATATGGAAGACAAGAAGTCTACAACTTATCTGGATGCTCACCTCTTTTAAGGAAGGGATAAGCAATATTGATAATGCCGCAGATTGTGCTATAACTTTTGCACTTTCTTCATCATCACTTGCTTGGGATGATCTTGGAAATACTTTTGGTGCATCAATGTATTCATTAACCCACAAATTAGAAATTTTCAATCCTATCTCACATGTGCATGCATGTGTAGGTGCAGGTGTGTAAAGATTACAAGTACTAGCAACATTTTCCCCAGTAGATATACCTGGAAGAATCAGAGCTATTCGTCATCTGCCCTCTTCTATCGTGCGCATCGTAGTTGATCTTGTTAAGTGCAGACCTATCTTTAGCATTTCCTTTCCTCCCACCTTGAATTGCAGCCTTTGCCTGCATAAACATTGTCAAGAAGCTTCGTCAGTGAAACACTCTGGGACTATTGAAGCCAAGAGAACATCAGAATTACGTTTTTATTTTTTTTGTTTTTCTGTTCAATCTAAAAATTCCGGAGAGAAACCAGGAAAATCATATTTAGATACAGAATATGAGAACAAAAAATTTGGGAGATGAAAACCCTAAGAGTAGATCTGATCTGGGAAAACAATGAATTCTACAATTAACTAAAATAGTATTGAAAGGAATAAAATTTTCAAATATAGGTACAAAATGTAACTGAAGAATATTACATCTGTTTTAAATTGATCTATGGTGATACATGAATGTCAAATCAAATTTTAACAGATCAACAGCTTTTTGCAATTACTCTGACATGAACTGAATTCTATAATACCTGAAGACATTCACTAGCACTACTGTAATCTGTGGAATTTAATTGACCAATTAGATTAACTGGTATCAATTGAAATATTACATAGAGCAAAAAGCCACCTCTGCAAGATTAATGGCACTGTCTTCAGTCGAAGCAGTTGAAGTTCTCTCTTGAATTCCCAGCCTGGATTTTGGCGTTCGAGGAGAATCAGAATCATCATGTTGACCACGAAAAACAACAGTTCCGCTGGAAGAAGCATCTTCATAAGAAGCGTATGTGCTGCCAGGCTACAAAGCAAAAGGAGGTAGTAAAATAAACAGGTATCTCAGTACAAAAAGTTTGAACTCCAATACTTCCTATTCTTGTCCTAACTGTACAGATTATTACCAGAGAGTTTTGATCACGAAACTGAGAAGATGACTGAGATCCTTTGGGTGTTCGTATAACAACAGTTCCTGACCCACTCACAGTCAATTCTTCCTGGAAATACACCTCAAATTGCTAAACAATATACAGTAATGTAAAAATGGTGCAAACAATCGTGAACTCCAACTTGGGTCAGTAAATGAAAAATCAGTGTTCAAAAAATCGGCCTAGCCCAGTAAAAGCAGACGGAAATCAGGAGTGAAAATTCAGTAATGGCCAACTTCTGAACAAATAGTTGATATTCACACCCCAATATCATCCCACAAACCAAAACCCCAAATCCTAGAAGCATTCACAATTGCACTGGAATACAACAGTCATAGTGCACAAACTGCATCTTTGCCAGGAATGACAGAAACTAGGGACTACTAGGCATGCTTCTACAGAAAACCTTAACTAATTATACAGATAAGAGATCAGTAAAATCACAAACATTGAGGACATCGTTACCTATCTTTTCTCAACTTTGTATAGCCCATTAATTATATGGAAATTTCTACAAGGTCGTAACCGGATGCAAATTGTAACAAATATGTGTGATAGAGAAAAGGATTGGGGGTGGGAGACTTACATCTTCAGGGTTAGACTCCTGGAGTTCATCACCATATGAATCTCTACCATCTTTCAACAAATAATCTTCGCGTGATTCATGAAGTGCATTCCCAGATGCGGAGAACCGTTGGTTACTACTCTCTCTTCCAGGGGTTTCCGGCTTTTTTTCTCTTGCCTGAGGTGGTTTAAGTGTTGCAACACTTCTAACAGTACCTGTACCCTGTGATCCAATGCTGAAATCCCATCCAGCATTTTTCAGAGTCTTACCCTGGTCACTGCAAATTAAAACAAGAGTTAAACCACACAACCAGCAAAGCACCAGTGATCAGCAATTTCTAACCCACCTAGCTCGAACAGTTTCATCTCTTAAATTTCTTGTCACTTTCACGGTATCAGATATCTCCCCTCTAGCTGTAGGACCATTTTTAACGGTGTCATCATCTTCCTTTATATGGTATTTTGGACGCTCTCTGTAAGATAACAAAAGGCAGGGCATCTTAGCTAAACTGTGTAAGAATTAGCATGTATTGCCAAATCAAACCACATTGACAAATGAATGCCAGAAAATTAAACTAAACTGCAAGTTGCAGTGCAGTTATGTATGTTTAAAGTTCTCTTCTGCCTCATATCTGTGGCAGGCATAGACCAGGTGAGCGTCATTGTGCTGCAGATGCTTTCTAGAAAGAAACTTGACATCAAAAGGTGAAAGGCATAACAGCAATATTTGGCACCTTATTCTCTCCATAAGCCTTGGACTCTTTCTAGCAGTCCTGATAAAACGGTGCTTTAGTAGTTCCTTGGCACTTGCACGCTGAGATTAAAGGAAAAAAAGAACAAAAAGAAAATTATAATAATAGAAAACTTGCAG